CGGAACTGGGCTGGCTTCTTGAGGTGTTTTTCGGCAAATTTAACTCTGGCCTGTCTATTTTTGGAATTGATGAATGGTTTGCATCTAGATGTGAATCCTTTGTATTTACTTTCATGGAGTCTTCTCTTTACTGTTGACTTAGAGACGGATACACCTACTTCCCTGAGGGTGTTCTGGACTTCGGTTGATGTTGTGAACGGGTTCTTCTTCACCAAAGAGAGTATGCGGCGATCATCCACCGCCGTTGTCTTCCGTGGACGCCCAGGCCTTTATGAGTTCCCAAGCTCACCAGTGAATTCCTTTTTTCTCAGAATGTACCCGACTGTTGATTTTGCTACTCCAAGCATGTCTGCTATCTCTCTAATGGATTTTTTCTTTTTTTTCAGCCTCAGGATGTTCTGCTTCACCTCAATTGAGAGTTCCTTTGACCGCATGTTGTCTGTTCACAGCAACAGCTTCCAAATGCAAAACCACACACCTGGAATCAACCCCAGACCTTTTAACTACTTAATTGATTACAGGTTAACGAGGGAGACGCCTTTTGAGTTAGTTGCAGCCCTTAGAGTCCATTGTCCAATTACTTTTGGTCCCTTGAAAAAGAGGAGGCTATGCATTACAGAGCTATGATTCCTAAACCCTTTCTCCGATTTGGATGTGGAAACTCTCATATTGCAGCTGGGAGTGTGCACTTTCAGCCCATTTTATATTTATAATTGTATTTCTGAACATGTTTTTGTAAACAGCTAAAATAACAAAACTTGTGTCACTGTCCAAATATTTCTGGCCCTAACTGTATATATAAATAGATAAATAACACACAGCATGCTTCATCATCTTTAGTGCGGTCAGGCCAGATTCTAGATGGACTTTAAAGGAGCACAGAGTGGCCCCCACCCCTAGGTGTGCTGTGGAGCACCAGCTGCTTCCAGCTTCCCCACTGGTTCTACCTCCTGCGGTTGGATCTATGGCGTCCTGCGGTTGGATCTATGGCNGGAGGGAGGAGGACCCAGCATGAGGAGCAGAGCCTGGAGGGAGGAGACCTCCTAGCCTGGAGGGAGGAGGACCCAGCATGAGGAGCAGAGCCTAGAGGGAGGAGGACCCAGCATGAGGAGCAGAGCCTAGAGGGAGGAGGACCCAGCATGAGGAGCAGCAGCAGCGTCTCCTCAGAGGTGGACACCTTGTTCCAGACGGAGCTGCAGACCTTCCCCCGGTCAGAGCTCCTCCTGAAGCTGGCTGCTCCCCACAGAGCGCCCCCCAGGGGCCAGAGGCGGGTTGGTTTGTCCAAAGGAGGAAAAATAAAAACAGCAAAATAAAAAGAACTGATTTTTATTCTGAGGTTTTGTTTCTTTCTTTCTGCTGATGAAGGTTCTCAGTCATCCAGGTCAAAGTCATTCTGTAAAAATTCAAAAAATATCCACTGGACTTGGTTTTCAAGATTTGAAGACGTTTCGCTTCCTCTCCAGGAAGCTTTCTCAATTCAAATTCAAATTCAAATAACATTTGAATTGAGAAAGCTTCCTGGAGAGGTGGAGAAACGTCTTCAAATCTTGAAAACCAAGTCCAGTGGATATTTTTTGAATTTTTACAGAAAGTTTCTTTCTTTCTGAAATAAATCAGGTTTTCAATCAAACGACACACTGTCATCGTTTCGTAACAGCTGATTGGCTGCTGGGGGGGGGGTTCAGATCCACCCTGGAAGCGAGCCCGCCCAGGAAGAGACAACGTTACCATGGCAACCAACCTTACAAAGAGGGAGTCCAGCTGATGGTAGCAGGAGGTCAGATTTACAGCATCAGTGGTTGAAGTAAAGCTGAAATGCTCTGTTCAACCTGAAGTTAGCTGACTAATCCAGTAATCCTAATCCCTGCTTCTGGGGGGGGGGGGGGGGAATGCATCATTAATGTCAGGAAGTGATGATTGGAGGGTTCTCCACCAACATCTGCAGCAGGAAATGACTTAATAACCCATGGAGGAGAACCTGGAGAACCGGGTCAAAAAGAGGCTAAGAGTTTCCTAGAGCTATAGTTTTTAGAATGGATGGAGGCGTCGCTGCAAACTCCAACCCCTCTGATTGGATAAGAACATGAAAGAGACAGCTGTCAGAATGAGGAGGAGGAGGGAGGTGGGAGGAGATGTTTAGCACTCCTCTATCTGTGATTGGTTTGTCCCTGGAGGGGGGGGGTGATGGAATCTGAACCGGGTTTAAACCAGAGTTTAAACCAGAGTTAAAACCAGAGTTTAAACAGAAATGAGTAACTCTAATTTAATGCTTTTTGATGCTCTTAGAAATAATTTTAATGCCATCAACAAGTAGCCATGACTCTCATATATAGATACAGTTAGGGCCAGAAATATTTGGACAGTAACACAGTTTTTGCGGGTTGGGCTCTGCATGCCACCGCATTGGATTTCAAATGAAACCTCTACAACAGAATTCAAGTGCAGATTATAACGTTTAATTTAAAGGGTTGAACAAAAATATCTGATAGAAAATGTAGGAATTGTACACATTTCTTTACAAACACTCTCACATTTTAGGAGCTCAAAAGTAATTGGACAAATAAATATAACCCAAACAAAATATTTTTTTTTTTCAATATTTTGTGGTGAATCCTTTGGAGGCAATCACTGCCTTAAGTCTGGAACCCATGGACATCACCAAACGCTGGGTTTCCTCCTTATTCTGTCTTTGCCAGGCCTTTACAGCT